ATACCAGTGACCTCAATAACAGTATTCAAAACTTAAAGGCAGTGCAGCAAGAATATGACCTTCAAGACCACGACGGAGCAAGGCAGGAACTTTTTTTTACAAACATCAAAGAATTGAGGAGAGTTCTGAATATTTAAATGACAAAATGTTTATTCGGCAAATGGTAATCAATACGTGATTTATGCTTCTTTGACAAACAGGTATATCAAGTTTTCTTTCTTGTATCTTGAAATAAAAAAACCCTCAAAATTCGATTCCAGGACAGCTGAAATAGAAAAACCTTATGTACCACAAAAATAGAGATAAAAATGCATTCCATAAGAACGCCTAAAATTGCTGAACTAAAAGGGATGCAGCCTTGGTTTGACTGAGCCAGTTCATGGACGGTTGTAAAAAGGTCAAGCTACCAGCCATGTCAACAAGTCTTGCTTTTGTTCATTTCTTCAAAATTGAAGGGAACTAAAGCGTATGTATACAATTAAACCATACCGTATTTGTGAATCTTAGATAAAAAACTGTTTGAAAGTATCAAAAATATACGTCGTAAAGGTTGTTTATTTGATTATTTATTGGTTTTGTGAGGTAATGAAGCGTCCATTTATCTTTTTAAACCAGTCGTTCGCAACTAACTTAGGAGAACAGAGTTGATGACTGAAGGAACAGCATTGAAATAGCTGAAGATATAAAAAGTCAGTACGTAACAAAGTTAACCGAAGGATGAATATGCTAATGAATATGCTAATTGGATTTTGCTTGCTTGTAGTTACTGGTAAGAACTAATATTTTCAGTAATATTGTTACTTCATACACAGGAAAACATTTAATTCGGAAATATAATGTGTGACTTCTTACAAAATATGGTAAATTATCTTCCTATGATTTAAAATTTAAAACATAGTTTGCAAAAAAAAATGGAATAAGAGAGAGATAAAAGATATGTATTTTTTAATTTTGATTCTGTGTTTGTTTGCGTTTTAAGTCATAGCCTCGGACAACAAGCAGAATATGTTTATAAATAAATATCATAAGTATATACTTATGAAAATTTTCGGTCTGAACTTGAATGATTCAAGTTTCAAGTTTTTTTGAATGTATATTCTATTATAGTGAACGTTGGTGATTAATCTGGTCTTTTGAACATATTTTGGCGCAGATTATAAAAAATAGGGTGTTCATGTCAATTTATGTAAATTTATCAATATTCTAACTTTTTTTAAACATGTTCCGATCAGAAGCACCATGTTAAACAAAGAGAAAAGACATTAATTTTATTGCCAAAACTAACTTTGCATCTTGTCAAATTCGTTTACATTTACATAAAAACGTCAAACGAGTTATCAAATATGTCCCGTGACATAAATATATATAAATTTCAGTCGAAAAATATCGGTAAAGTTCATAACAAAATGAATGAGGATTTTATTTTATATTTAAGGCAGTATTGTAAAGACTTAATCTGAATATTTATTATAAGCAATTATTGTTAAATCGCAATTAAACCTTTTTTGCAATATATTAATGATTTATCTGAGTTTGAAATTGAAAAAAATGAGCATGCTGTCACTAACTAACACCTTATCCCATCCCGAATTTCTGAATCAATCTTTTAACTGTCACTGAAAATAAAATCATATCAACAAATTAATGTTTTAAACATTTGTTTGTTTGTTTGAAAATAACCGCGCTAGTTTAAATTTTCTCATTGTTTGCCTTGCGCGACCTTATATCTTTCAATGATAAATGAAATCACCGAGAAAACATAACGCTCATGAAATGTTGTTTGCATTTATATTTCAAAACAAATATATTCAATCTTTATGCTAAAAGATATTACAGGGCAATATACCGATATTTGACTGAAGCCAGTAATCCTTTCTACAGTGTATAACAGGCGATGCACGACACCGTTGTACCAAATTTCTTCAGACAGCAAAAACTACTTTGCCGCACTTAAACTTTTGATAAAACCGCCGTGAAATGATCCGAAATTGCTTTTCTAATAAATTGGTAAATGACGAATTCGCAACATATTGTTTCCTACTTAAAAATTGAATTCCTGGAAAAATATTAACTGTAACTATAATGATCTAAAATAAAATCATAAATATTTATTTTACCCTATCACCCAATTATTGTTTTTTGTATGAAGAATGTATCTTCAGTATCAACACAATTTTTCGTTTATCAAACTACTTGTTTATCAAACTGTATAACAATATACTCTATTCTACATGATTTACGTGACTTTTTCTTTAAGTATATCAAGTTTCGGCATTGGAGTGCTACACTTGTACCACAGGATGCAATGATGAATTCAATTCCAAAAATATTGCTAAAGTTCAATGCACTGGTTCATGTATGAAGTCTAAAGCATATGATGGAGGTGAGTATAACTGCCTTGGAATTTATGTTTTAAAAGAAGCTTATTAGCTTTAAATGTCTACCACCTGAGTGCAAAATGCATAAAAGGAGTACAAACACTTGGACAGATAAGCGTCTGCGTAGCTATATCATCGGACAACATGCAATTCTGACATTTTCTTTATATTGTACGAACGTTTTGTTAGTAGGTTAAATATGTATTAAAAGATGTAAAAGTTGTCTGCTCAGTCAGGTTTGGGGTGATCTGTCCAAAATTTGTCATTAAATGATATATGACATTTATAATTTTAAGTCTTGGCTGAGTCAAACCGAACCTGTAATTTTCATGCTATTTTGCTAATCTTTAATGCTTCTAAGGTATAACTTCTTTCCATATATTCTTAATTTAAAGGAGCACAAACATTTAAGGAACGGAACTGCATTTTGAAGATTTTGTGACATGCAGGAACTCGAAAAAATAGTCCTTGACATGTGTACCATTTGATGAAGGTTTGACCCAATAACTGCAAATTTTCAGATCATTTCATCATCCAATTATCCAGAATGAAATCATTTTTATTTATAAATCTGCGAATTGGCCCATAATGAAAGCGTTGCCATGCTTTTCAAATAAATAGGGTAAATAATGGCAAATTTTTGAGTAGATTTTCAATTGAACTCTGAACACTGTTTTCATTATCATTTTAAGATCTTTACACTTACAATGCTGCACTTATTATATGTTGTTTGTCCTCAGTAGAGCTCTTTTTACATTAATAGTATTTGATGTCTCGATGTTTTTGTTTTTTAATTCAAAATCGAGACATGTACATTTATAAATAGCATCAACAAGCTGAGTGATTGTATTTGCATGAAATATATCCAGGTGAGTGACTCAAGTGACTTATAAAATCATAGTCCATGTATCGATCAATCTTATTCAAATTATATTATACAAAGATATATTTTATAATACTCTGTCGAAGAAATTTCTGTTTTCAAAACTCGCCACTGTGTATTTAATTACATAATTTGCATTTTAACAGATGGTTTAACCTGGGATTCAGGCGTTGATAGATTTTTTTCTTATTCACAACCGTCGCGCTAGTTCATACTCGTTCGTGTTTCGATGATAGCAACAGAAGAACATAAAAATCGACAGTTTGGAACCCAGACTAACAGATGGGTATGCAACCGAATATCTTATGGTGTAAGAAATTATTAGCTTAACAAAATTATGGTTACAATGTTTTTTTTAGAAGTCAAAAGTTCCCATTTGTTGTTTTCAGCTGTAACCAGAGGTTGTCTGCCAGTTGTAAAGACGGATGATTGCAAAGATGAAAATGACGTTACCGTGTGTTTATGTACTTCGGATCGTTGTAACGGAGCAGCTATTAGATACATGTCCACTTTCAGCATTATCACGACAGTTGCTTGTGTTATTCTAAATTCCTTGAAAAATATCTTCTAATAATGTTCAATAATCTGCAATAAGTACTTAAATTTCAACATGACTTTAAGGGTATGGAGATGTTCTGAACCATAAATAATAAATTCCTGGGTTGTGAATAATACCTTTTAAAAATATCCGTTAAGCTTCCGATGTTCCGAATTATCAGTTTACATACAAAAACAAGTATCTAAGGTAAAGCACTCCCTTTTGAGATCGGCAGTAAAATAGAAAAAAATAGAGTTATTTTAATTTTAAATTTATGTAGATGTTCGCAGTAATAACTCTATACTCTTTAACGATATTTTCAAACAGCCTATTGTGTAATGCGATGACGTCGCCCATGACCATATTGGCTTTGAAATGTGTATATAAATCCTTCAATTATATGATAAATTTTCTTTCTTTGTAATCGAACGTATCCAATTTGTAAATTCAATACTTTTTAATCGTCATTTTAATACGATTGTATATAATAATCGAACATACTCTTTACATGTTTGTATTTTGTATATACATCTGTGTATATATTTTAATGAATAAGCATGCCTTTTTGATATCTTTTTGAAATACAGAATAGTGTAAATCCTGCTACACATCTTTCTTGTTTTTATTTAATTCTCATAGACAAATGACACACCTGTGCACATCCGATAAATCTCGACTAGCACTGTAGTGAAGTTAAAATGCAAGTTGATATTTTTGGCTGAGGGTTAATGTCGCACCAACAAAGTATTGGTCATATGACGACTTTCAAGCTTAACTTGTGGAAGAAGAGCTGAAGTCTCCTGCCGTGCATTATTTCAGGCATGAACGGGGATCTGAGTGGAACCAACGACGTTCCGTAAGCTAGCAAGATAGCTTCCTCACATGAAAGACGTTCGTTCACGCAACGGCGTGGGAGTCAAAACATCTTAACCGCTCGTCAAAAAAACGCTCCGACAGCTGATATTTGAGAGATAAGCTATGAATTGATTGTTCAATTTAAAGACATATTTGTACTGTTTTGAAACAAAAAATCAAAGACTTTTCTAATATTTATTTATAAAAGTATTAACAGAGATCTTTCTATATTTAGCATAATCTAAAGTGAGCAACAACTGTGGCGAATGTCATTTACATCTTCTTTTATGTCTTTTGCTGAAAACTTAATATTAACTAATCATTATCATCTTTATTATCGTCAACATCATTTTAGCTTCATTTTATCATTTTATATTTATTTTAATTATTTTCATTTCTCATATACTTATAAATAAAATATTGAGAAAAAATGATGGAATGCAATGCATATTCTCATTTTCCATAGTTAAAATTCTAAAAACATATTTTTCACTGTTGTGAAACATTTTTTCCGTATTTTATACTCGTGTTTTGCTGAACCACTTTATTCCAAATGTAGCAATACACAACATTATAGGGAAATTATCTCAGATTGTAATGTCAAAAAAGAAAAACAAAATATATTCAAGTATTTTCTATAAAATAAACGTACTTTTTCATCTTTTTGTATGAAAATCATCATATAACACTCGTGGTTACAGCCACTAATGAAATATTTATTTTCATACCACTCGATGAAAATAAATTTTGTATGTTTGGAAAAAACTTGCGTACCCTCTATTCTGTTGCATTATTTTTTTCATTAATAATTATTGCCAATGCATTGTTACACGCTTTATCTCAAAAGCTGTACACTTTCTTAATGTCTTATACATATTCCATAATAAAACGAAAGATAAAATAGTATTACATATAATCACACATTTAAAACAAACATATAAGATCTAAACATGTCTTTCTGTCTTACAATTCAATAAAAACTTATTGTGTACACACGCTAAAGAAAAAGTTAACATATAAATTTCATATCAACTGAATTATCGACAGTATTTCCTAAAATAACATAAAATATATATTTAAGTGTAGTTTTTAAGCATATACAGCTCAACTTCATATATACAACTAATATAAAAATGCATGAATATGATAAACGGTAACGCGTATCAATAAATGAAATAGACTGGTGAGAGTATAAAACAACCACATGTCATATATACAATATTATTTCAGACAATACAAAGGTGGTCTTATACATATCACTATCCGGCATTCAATCAATCAAATCTTAAATACAATACATTACTATTTTTTAACACTGAAATAACTTAAACTATAAACTCTGTAATTGAATTAGAGTGCGTCTTTGTTTTATAGTGATCTTAATAATCGTTTGATCCTTACACCTTCCTCAACATCATTGCAGATCTTTTCAATGCAAGTGCATTATTAAAGCCGACATGAACGTGTCCGCAAACATTCTTTGCAGCACCAGTAATATTGCATGTTGCTCCCGGTTTTGCGTAATATCCATTCAGATTTACATAGCCGCAGTTTTTATACCACCATGCACCGTGACGCTCAACGGCACAATTTTGTACAACGGAATCAAGGTCACGGTCAAAAGTTGAAAAAGGCCTTAGATTGTGATACTTCAATCCTTTTTCTTCAGAGTCAACTGAGTAAGAAAACAAAATGTATTAATTAAAATAAACGCAAGGACTGCCAAGACCATGGTTCCTTAAAAGCGTCAATAACTGTAAAATTGTAATTGTTGAATGCTCCGTTTGATTGAGTTTGTCATGGACGTAACTGGTAATTGTAAGCTACCGTCCAAGCCCCCTAGCATCAGCAGAATTGCAAAATTCAATATCTATTGTAATGGTGAAATTTGGAATTTTAAAAATCATCTGTGGATGTGTACATACGGCGACTACCGTTGGTAAAACCTTAGTGATTTTCTATGAAAAGCTGCGTAACGTCCCCAATCAAAATACGTGGGCACTAAGCAAGAATACAATGGATGGAATTTAATAAAATGGAATTTTGGAAAGGGATCTAATGGTATGAAGCCTGCATATCTCAAGTAAGACGTCATAAGACAAATTTAAACCATTTCATCAGAATATTATCTTACCACCTATTGCAGTGCGAGAACCTAGGTTCAACTGATACTTTGTGCCGTCTGTTAACTTGAAGTCTTGGAAGGTCTCGTGTCCTGTAAAACCAGTTTCTGTTGTCATGTCAACTCGAAGCTCTGTTGGACCTTGCCCGGTTAGTTCCTGTATGTACTTTAGACCTGCAGAAAGCATTAAGCAAGTAATAGGTCAAAGACGTACAACATATACACCCTCAAAGAAATATAAAGAATCATATTACTTATAAAGCCATTCTGGAAAACCTTTTGATGCCGTTTATAGATAGATACTCTTTACTTGTACTTCATCTCCTCAGGGCTATTTAAATTCTAACACTTAACTGTAGAAGATTCAATTCGCTACTCTGTTTAGATTTTGATTTTTTTTCATTTTACTCCTTTTCAAACAGTATTTCAGTCATATAGGCGGATGGTTTCCTAACCATCGTTCCTGGAGAGTTACACCAGAACTAGACTACCTTACTCCGCGCGAAACGACCAAAGCGTCTCCCGGGGTTGGAACCCATGCCAGAGAGGTAACTTGATTAGAAGTCATCGACTCTAACCCCTCCACCACTGAGGCGGTCTAAGTTTAGAACTTGTATTAGCTCAATTGCCGGCTTCATAATTATAGTTTTTGGCGCTGTTATGCCAAGTGACATGTCAATTTACCGTTAAACCGAAACAAACAAATCTTTCAGACGGCACAAAGATGAGTGAGAAACATTCTTATTGCTATTGTAATCACTCATTGTTCAACCTTTTGCAATAGCTAAACAGAAATTAAAATCTTCGCTCAAAATATAGCATAAAAGTGTGTGTTTTTTTCTTTGAACGTCTCCTCACCTTGTTAATATGTGACCCAAATTTTTGTCGTGGTTTATAACATGTACATGCATTTGAAAGAATAAATAAATGTACAAAGAGTATCTCTTTCCCATCTGCTGTATAGACAGAGTGTCGAATTTCGCAGAGAAAATTTACATTTTCTACTGTGTCCAATTGTCTTTTTTTCTCCAACTGCTGATTCAGAAAGTGTAATGTATCGTCAGTTCTCTCCGGATCAATTGGTTATGTACTTTGAAGTTATACAGGAAAGGCATTAAGGTGACCAATAAAGTTTAAGTCGGCGTAAAACTTTAACAAGCTAAACATAATCCCTAAAAATCACCTCAAAATTGAAAATATTATGATGCACACCTTGTTTGATTGAGCCTGTTCATGGACGGTACTGGAAAGTGCAAGTTGCTGTTCATGCCACCTAGCACCGGCTTCAGCAGAATTCAACATTTAAACACGAAAATGGTGAAATTTTGAATTTTGAAACATACGCAGATGTGTACATACGGTGGTTATGCATATGACACCTTCAATGTGACTTAATAGTAACATTCTATGAAAAGTGGCGTATGGCCCTCAAGTAAAGGAATGCATGTGTCTTAAACAAGAAAAAGGTGATCTGACGTTATGAAGCCAGCATATTGCAGACAATACGTCAAAAGACAAATTTAAAAAGCAGGCAACACATCCTAAGGGTGATTATACAGTATTCAAGTAAGAATACTGGAACCACCAAAGTTAAAATGGCCAGACAGAAAAAAACTTAAAATACCGTATTAAATGTACATAATATCGTCGTGCTGAACGATATTCACACATAGGAATATGACATGAAAACAAAATGGTCACTTTTTTGTAGCTGTAAGACATAGCCAAAAATATAATAATAGATATAATAATAGTAAATCCTACCTAGCCAAAATTCACCGTCAGCGTTTCCAAAACCATTTTCATAATCCGTGAAATTCCGATAAAACTCAACTGATCCGTCAAAACGCCTATGAAATATCTATAAAGATTAAAATAAGATGAACACATTATTTTTCAAAAATAGAATGAAATTGCATTGGAACTCAGTGCAACCTCTGTAGAGGAATACAATTTTTAACAACAAACTTGTATTTAACATATCTGAACCAAATTCAATATCGTCTAAAAGGTGTGTTCAACGTCAAAAGTTGTATCGTATCAAAATTGACTATTTCAAACAAAGTAATAATAATTTTTGTAATAATTTGTTTGTCCAGGTCATGATTATGCATTTTTGTTGCACAAACACCATGTTTTATCGGCAAATATTTTTATAATTTTATGATTTTTTTTTCATAGAATAATATTGTTTTCCAAGATTCGCACTATGACGAGTCATTTTGTAATAGATCAAAAATGAAAACTGTGTTACCGTTTTCAACTACGCATGTAGTTAGAAAATGTTATCTCATTTTGAATAATTATTCTTTTTTTATAAATGCATAAACCAGGTTAAATTTTCGATTATAATGATTATATCGATTGTCATAAAAAGCAATATCATTGAACACATACCACGTGGTTTTGATTATTAAAAAACAGATCAAGCAGAAACCAACGTTCTCACTTGCATTTACAAACGTAAGTATGTCTTTTTTATTTTATATAATAATAATAATAATAATGGCATAAAAAATAAAAACAAAATAAAAAAATAAAATAAGAAAAATAAACATGTGGGATCAAAGGGGGTAAAGTTAATGTAATTTCAAAACTCGTTAATGTCTTTTTTACTTATACGTAGTTAAAACAAAAATCTTTATTAGTTTTACTCAAAATTTCGAGACCAATGGCAAAAGACTTCAAGACCACATGTTTTGTCTAATTTGATAATTTTACAGGTAGAATTACAAACATACTGTCCAGCCGCCTCCTGCGGTTTCCATGTCACAATTCACTGTCAGAATCGTTCCAGATTGCCATAGTACTATATCATATAACCCACTTTGTGCTTCAGGGAATTCATCACGAATATCTTTACAGTCTGTGACTAAGAAATTGACAAAACAAATGCTTCATATTCATCAGTGCAGTCATCGGAAATTGTTTACTGTCGCTGTCTAAGAAATGTGTTTAACAGTATGTATTTTACATGTTTGAAAATTCACGGAGAAAGAATTGAACATAACGGTATGGTTTACGCACCTCAGGAAACTCATAAAAAATAAATTCTTTATAAGCCAGCGACTAAGGTATAGAAAAACAAACGCTTCACAAATGGAATTCTTAAAAAAATATAAGTGAAGTCATCGAGCCTTTCTAAACAGTCGCAGGCACAGAAATTGACAAAACAGTGTACACATGCATCTCGAAATTCCTTACATAACAAACATTCAGCAGATACGGATTTTAAAGTATTCTGTCAGACGGCCTTCGATTCTATGTTAACATAAAGGTTTTGCAATGCCTTAAATCAGGTTGTAATCATTTTTTAAAATGTGTTCATATACAGCTAACAATTTTGACTTGTAATAATTCAGAAATGATGCATTTATGTACGTTACATTTATGGCACGAAGCAGTTTGCCATTGCCCCGATGCTTGACACTTGACCTCCTTTTTAATAGAAACGAATCCATCGTTACATTTTACCATTGCTACGTCCATGAACTTGTGTACGCCTCTTGCAATGATCTCTAATTTACCATTGTCTATTTCTTTACCAAAACTGCAAGCTGAAATTGGTTTCAAAAAGAATAAGTATTATGTTTTAGAACTGTTTTTCATGTTTGCTGTTGTAAGATTGTAATAACAATCTTGCACTGACTTCCGATACAGACTGCAAATATAGGTTTAAGGTGTTTACGGTGGTAACGAAACTCTGCTGCTTGACATAAAAGCAAGAAAGTTTTTTTTGTGTCGACGACCAATATTCTGTTTGTGGATAGAACATTTAAATCATATCTTGGAAAGAAATTTCAGTTTAAACCATTATTTCTATTTAGTACTTTTTCTAAATTGCGTTTGAATGGAAATTGGGTAAGCCGTCAATTAAAGTATGCAACTTTTCTTACAAATGGAATGTAAAACGGGTTTTTCCTAGCACCAGAGTTAATTGTAGAAAACCTTGTCTGGTATGCAAGAATAGTTCTGCCATTGCTGGGCGTTTTGCACACTCCGCAAATTGTTTAAAAATGAATGTACCTTTGATAAAAATATTATCCTAAATTTCGGCTGTTGCAAGATATCCCAAACGCTCCAGCCTTTGAAAATACAAAGCCGAGTATGACACCTAATTCAGAACCATTTGAGCAGGTTAAGCGCAAATTCTTAGGCAAGGGAAATGTAAGGAACACATACTGAATAAATCTCTGCACAAGTATGACCCATCATTTTCATAACATCTTTGGTTCATTTGACAAGGATTTGACTGACAAGCTCCCATCATCGTCTGCAAAGAGAAAGAAAATGATAGTATGATTTTTTTATTCATGACAACTAAATTCCACACGGTAATACACCCATGAGTACAACATGTTAACAAATAAGCAACAGTTAAACATTGAATATATACAAGTGTAGAGGAACTAACAGTATTGTACAATATAGATATTTTAACATTGTTATCTGCCAAACTTCATCCGATTTTAAATATCAACATACAAATGTACTAATTAAAGTACAGTACACAGTTGTGTAAAATATAAATGGAAAGTGATAGCTAAAAGCAATACAAGCGTAAAAGGTACACTAATAGATATCTAAAAACAAATAAAGAAATCGTTTTAAGTTGGTTAATTTATATAAATATGATAGGAATTTTAAAGTTACATTTGATTGTTTGTATACATGTATAATAACAAAAGTTCAATGAAAGCATTCCCTCGCACAACTCAGTGACAAGAACCAGCTGAAAAAAGCCCAAGAGGACCAAAAACAAAAGAAGGACAAGGCGCAATGCAAAGCACAGACAGGTCACTTAAATGATACTAAAAAGGAAAGAAAAGAAATTAAAGAAAACAAATAAGTGATCAATAAAAGGTCCTTAAAGTAAAGGGGCAAATAGCCTATGGTCGAAGCGTACTTAAAGTAAGCTTTAACTGCTTAATATCTTTGTTTATTTATTTTGAAGTTTGGTTATTCGTATAGTTTAAGTGGTTCATTATTTTATATGAAAGCCAGAAGACAATATTGTTTATATTTGCAACCATTAACAAACCTTATTGTACGCTCATCACTAGGTCATCTTATTCGCTTTTTAAACATTATTTAACACATTTTTGTCGTTTCATAAACATGTATATATAATCTCTTTATTTCGTTGAGTTATTGAGAAGTAATAATTTTATTACTTCATAAGCTTCCTTTTACAATTTAAATATCTTAATTAGAAAATTATATTTTATTTGATTCCTTAGTCAAGGTCTGATTTCAAATCAATTACCCCTTACCGTTGCAGATTAGAATTCAGGGACTTTCGATACTTTCATGTGAGGGCGCTATTTTGCAAGCTTTCGAGAGTGCAATGGTTTACGAAAGTGCATGTCCTTCTACCAGTACAACTGTGAAATGTCGATATACCTGTATGGGTTTTGATACTCATTTCACTAAGATCCGGCCGGAAAAAGCACACTAATACGATTTGCAATTTATTTCCGCGAAAAGTTCTTAAATATCCTTTTTTACATATTTCTGTGTTTAATTAAAAGCCTCATACAGTTTATATATATATATATATATATATATATATATATATATATATATAATATATATATATATTATATATATATATATATATATATATATATATATATATATATATATATTATATATAATATATGTAATATATATATATATAAAATCAAACTTTATTTTTTAGGTTTTTTGATCCCCCATTCTAACCCCTTAATTACAAACAGTTTTTTAATTGATCTATTTTCTTTGGTGACTTGTACGTCGCATTTGCACAGTAGAGCTCAGATGGCGACAGACAGCCCTAAAGTGAACCCGTGCATTTTGTCAGGCACAAGCGGGGGCCTGGATAAAACTACCGACATTCTGTTATCACTCGGCCACGGGCGCTCTTATGATAAAATACAGCATTCAATAACACATTTGTTGCCTGAAATATGTAAGGTAATCAAGACGATTAAAGAAATTTTATGACTAAAAATAAATGTACAAAAAGCCAATTTGTTTTACTTAAAATAGAAATTAACCTAAATGTTCACGGAAATTTCAATTAAATAGATGAAATAACTCACCGATGGCCATTCGCTTATGTCCGAGAAAATAGAACCTATTTTGGTCTCGAATTCAAAAGGATCAACCGAGGAACTTTTGACATCGTTCAGTTTGCACGTGCTTTCCTTCCTGTCGTAATCTATAGATTTACATATTGCCAGGAACATACAATTCCGAGCGCATTCATGATGACTAGAGCCATTTATTTTCAAGACCGAGTGACCAATCAGAGCTTTATTAAGATGTTCCTTGTTTAGTTTAAAAGACTCGCTTGAGTGACACATGACCATTGCAGCTGATCCGCAGATAAGAAATAGAAAACTGTCAATTCCAGCAGCCATAGTATAAATTCATTCAATTTTACATCAGCTTTCTATTTATGAATAGAAATTGAAAAGCGTAGAATAAGTTTGAAATTATCAGTCTATCCAAAACGTTCATCAAGGCAACGCATCTATGGTTAGTTTGCGTTTTGAATCTTGTTCGTTAAGTCCCACCAGATTATGCGCATAATAAATAATAAACGTACTATTGATCGAAAGTGGATCATCAAATCGATCAAAATTTAATAACTTTGTTATCAATTTGTAATAATTAGATACCAGATATGTGTGCTAAAGTTCCCGTAACACATTTTGTTTATGGTTTTATGTCATAAATATGATTGTCAAATTAAGATTTATAAATTTTGTAAGTTCCAAAAAGCACAATTTATTAAGATTTTACCGAATTTAACATTTCATGTAAATAAAAGGAGGTAATGAAAAATATTTTCGATAGAACTTCTAGATATTATAAGTCATATTTTTCAATAAGAAATAAATGCATACATTTTAATGATTACAAATAATATGTACAAATATTTGCAGTACATATTTTACATATTCTTCATGTTTTAAAATTGTTTTATAAGCATGATTATATACAAGTCATATATATAAGTTCACTTATGTGTGATATACAACCACAATTAAAACATACTGGATCTTTAAGTTCATATGTCTTTAAAACGTTCTATATTCGCATTTTTTGGAAAAGATAAAAAAGATCATGTAATATTAATTGCTATTATATACATAACAAGAATGTAGTTAGATATCAATTAAACATGCCAAAATTAAATTACATGCAATTAATTTCTTACAGTCATGATAATTTTTTGTTTGTTTGTTTGTTTCATTTTACGCCTTATTTCAACAGTATTTCAGTCATATAGGCGGGTAGATTCCTAACCATCGTTCCTGGAGAGTTACACCAGTACTAGACTACCTTCCTCCTTGCTAAACTACAAAAGCATCTCCCGGGGATAGAACCCACGCCAGAGAGGTAACTGGATTAGAAGTTATCGACTCTAACCCCTCGACCACGGAGGCTTTACTAACAATCAATTTCCCATACCTAAGTGTACAATTGTTTACGAAATGAATGTCCACCAAAAAATATATGGAAAAAATGGAAAAATTAAAACAAATGGAATATATAAAATCAGTTTTACTGTCTGTATATTTTGTTTGTTATTATCATAAACTAGTCACAATTCATCTCAAATTACAATTAAAACTTCACTGAACTATATTGAACAAAATTTAGATTAAAATCCTTAGTAAAAGTCAAGAACAAAAAATATGTGGTATTGTCCCCTACAAGCACGTATAGTTTCATTCATAACAACAAACCACGAAATAATTATAATATATGAATGTTGTTGGTAAATGTGAGATACATGATCCGATATAACATATTTTTATTTTGCAGATAACAAATGAAAATAAAAATCAACAAGACATAAGCAATGTTCACCGGACGCAGCCCCAGATAAACCGCGGCACCTAGAAGACACGAAGCAGCCAAATCCAAGCAGGTCACGACTGTCTTATAATTCACATTTCCTGAAATTTCTAGTATTATAGTTGTTGTATATTAAGTTGTTAGACTGACGTTCTAAAGACTTACATATGAAATCCTCTTCATATGTCAGCTAGAGCTTATAGATTATTTCAAACCTATAATAAGTATATTCAGAATAAGATATATTTGTAGCGCGAGTCAAGTCCGATATAAGTTAAAAAATAAACATGAATGAAGCCATCTTTTGCTGGCTTTTTTTGCATAAAAAACAACATACTCTTCGTAAAAGGAGTTGGTGAATGGGCCTGTATTTTGCACAGAGGTATAAGTCCAGACGAACGTCAATTTTTGGCAACTATCGAAAAGTACTTGAAAATTAACAACTTCCCAACGCCCCCAGAAATAAAGATAAAATATAAAAAAATGAAAATAAAATAAAAGAAATAAAGCAAATAATCTTTAAGGCCATTTAATTACTCTTTTAATGTCTCACTAGGAAAATTTTATTCAAGCATTAGTTCTATAGCAAATGATTTTGCTGTATTGCTATAGCTTTTATAACAGAACATATATCTCAAATAATTGACAGGCTACATTTAAATTATCTTTTTTTTTGTAAAACAACTGAAACCTATATACTATATTCGACGCGGTGTGATCAGTTATGTGTTGTTCTTGTCGTTAAACCCAAACATACGTACAAACAAACATACATACAAATAAACAAGTTATAAAAAGTATGATTGTATTTTGAAAGTACTTATTCAGGTGCGGTTGCATTCTTGTTAACTTTTGACACAAAAAATACATATTCGAGAGGTTGTTTGACATTTCCCTAGTCCATCAGAGGGATCATGAGTTTTCAGTTGTTGTTTTCCTTATAGTATTTGCGTGTTATTCATTTAAAACGTAGGTTTATATAAAAATTGAAACCAACTAAATCACAGCAGGTCGTGAATTACTGACAAACTCTAGATCCGCGCATGCTCATTATAAGTTTTGTTCAGTTAAAAATGTCAATAAAAAGCGGATAAAATGTCAATGTAACATTTTACGCGCAACAACATCTGCACAAGCACGAGGTGGCAATTAAATTTTAAGCACTAACACAAGAGGCCTCTAGAGGAATAAAATATTCAAGGAAATAAAACAAGAGAAGAAAGTACCGAGACTTTAAGAAATTTAAAAAGTAAAAAAGTAAATATAGAAATAATACTTAAATTCCATGTTAAGTGCAATTAATGGCCGATCTTGCAGATTTCTCGCCATATTCCTACTACATGTTTTAAGCAGTTAGGGCTATATATGCATATTTGTACCTCTTTTGGTAATCTGTTATTACAAGTACCCTTTTAAATATGAGTAAATTATTTTCTGTGTTCTCTTCCCAATATTTTAATTTGAAAGAACTTATTCAGTCTGAGCATGAACACTATGTATGTTTGGTAAATATTGTATTGGCAATAAGTTTGCTCGAACAGTCTTTTGAAGTAGACAAACATTTATTTGATTAAATTGAAGATAAAGTTTTAATTTAGGATGTTATTATAATAGATAATATTTCACAAGAATATGTCACCGAAGTAAATTTCATTAGACTACACTTAACGCACGAGATCATGAGCCTAATAAACACACGTGAATAATTGTCCAATTAATATTCCATTAGGAAACCCGTAAATGCAAGACGGTGCACAACGAGAAAGTAATTAAGTAGTGCATGGAAACATTAAGGACCGTTGATAACTACGGAATACCGTTAGGGTCATTTCCTATGTATGTGTTTATCTGAAACGCGATACGAAGTCGAAACTGCGATGGTGAAAACACGAAATCACGAAACTACGATGGTGAAAACGCGAAAGTACGATGATGAAAACGCGAAAGTACGATGATGAAAAGACGACAGTACCAAACTTTTTCCACCATAGTACTTTCGCGTTTTCACCATTGTAGTTTCGTGATTTCGAGTTTTCATCATCGTACTGTCGTGTTTTGAACTGTTTTCATCATCGTACTATCGCGTTTTCACAATCGTACTATCGCGTTTTCATCATCGTACTGTCGTGTTTTCATCATCGTACTATCTTTTTTTCACCACCGTACTGTCGTGTTCTCATCATCGTACTATCGCGTTTTCATCATCGTACTATCGCGTTTTCATCATCGAACGATCGTGTTTTCACCATCGTAGTTTCGTGTTTTCACCATCGTACTGTCGACTATCGCGCTTCAGATTAACACATTCATAGGCGATGTCCCTTACGGCATTCCGAAATGCCGTTAGGGCCATCGCCTATGAATGGTTTGATCTGAAACGCGATATTCGTCAGTACGATGATGGTATTTATCCAATTCTACATGTTTTACGAATGCGTTTTTTTTCCGGGGACAACAACTTGGAAAATGCTCAGAACCGAACGAAATTTTGAATTTTAATTGATTTAACAAAGCTTGACATTTGCGATTTATTGGCGAAATGCCGTTAGGGCCATCGCCTATGAATGTGTTGATCTAAAACGCGATAGTCGATAGTACGGTGGTGAAAACACGAAATCGCGAAACTACGATGGTGAAAACGCGATAGTACGATGATGAAAACGCGATAGTAAGATGATGAAAACACGACAGTACGATGATGAAACACGATAGTACGATGGTGAAAATGCGATAGTACGAGGATGAAAACACGACAGTACGATGATGAAAACGCGAAATCACGAAACTACGATGGTGAAAACGCGACAGTACGATGGAGAAAACACGATAGTTTATAACAAACTTTAACAATAACAAATTTATAACAGAAAATTTTATAAGACAAAATTAAAGAACAATTAATATTTACCATACCTGAAGTCCAAATAAAGATGTAAATTTCAAATGTTAAGTCTGATCCTGGAATGATCCCTTTTTGAATTGCACAGTTAAATCCAAGTAAAATCCAAGAACACTTTAGAATAAATTCCCACAATAAAATCCACAAGAACAATTTAATCTATTTTAAAATCCAAGCTCCAATAGATTACTTTATATCCAAGTTGAATAATACTCGAAATGTATTGATGTCTTAAAAGGTAACTGATGACTTAAAAAGATAAAAGTAATGAAAAATGTCCCTTTATATATATTAACTAAGAAAATTCCAGAAAAGTCTATAATGTTCTACAGTTATCATAATCTAGCAACTTCAAAAAAAGAACATTCCGGAAGTTTCTATCTAAATATAATGCATGAATCATAATCTAGAATTTTCTACAACAGGTAAGAAACTTCTTGTTGACATGCATGTAGTTAATGTTCTAAAAATAGAACAAATATAATATTGGAAGTACCAACTGGTCAGATATGAATTATATACATGTAATATGTTGCATACATAACAATTGTGTAAACAAATTCTTGCTCGCTCAAGGAAACACCATATTGTACCTACGGGGTTTGAACCCACATGGTTAGCAAATAAAACTCGTTTAAACTCTTATTATTATAA